GTGAGTACTTTTTTCTTTATTTTTTTTTACTTGGTCGCCCTCGTTTCACTACACATTACCTTTGTTATTTCAAGGGTAGTTGTTTCTGAAAAGGAAAACCCCAACTTTGCGGACACCCTGTATAACTTCTGGAACAGGTCGAAAACTTTTGGAAGATGTAAAAAATATCAAACTTTGCTCTTCCAATTGCTGCTTATTTTAGTGTGCAATGTAACAAAATCAGGGCTTTCAGGGAAGTTCCTACACAGCCTATCTACTTCACAAATTTTTCCAATCATGACTGTTCTTGACACTTTTATTGGTAGGACTCGCATCTTGCTCATTCGCAACTTGATTATGCGAAACACTAAGACTTAGTGGCAAAACTTACAGTCATTGATTTCAACTTAGTTTATTCAACGAGGTGGCAACACTGACAATTGCCACTTACAAATAGTTCGATCGATAGTTGTTATCTCTTTGCGCACTAAATACCCGTATTCGCTTGTTTGCTTTTCGCTTGTCTGACTTCACACGACCTGACCTGCACCGTGCTGACGATTGCTAAAAAGCACGAAACAACGTTGTATGCCGTTGGCTACACAAAGCAGATTCATTTCCGCTCGGTTTATCCATTTGTTACTTTTTGAGCTATTTGTAAACATCAATAGCGGCAAATGTATCTTTTAGTTCTTACGTCTCAATGAGGCGGCAGCGGTGGCCGCAGTAGTAGACTCTTCGGTCTCCTGATCAGTTGCCGTGCGCTGTGCGGGTTTGAATCGCGTCCCACGAGAAATTTTTCTCTTGGCTATGGAGGTTGTGATTGTCCGTAGGTGGTAGATGGTCTCTGACTGTCGAACGCGGAGGTACCACCCGGCGGATCTCTGTCCGCTAATACTTGGTCCGTAAAACAAGGTTGCTACTATGAACTATGCCAAATACAAAAAAGCTTAAGAGTTTTTGTAAATCGGTGGCGGGGAAGAAAAAAAAAACAAAAACGCACAACTTTGATTTTGACGTTTCATCGATCATTTTCGGAAAAATTTTTTGGGGGTGAAAAATTGGAGATAGGGGTTTGTAGGGGATGGGGCTTATTTGTCACGATTTCTTTTTGGCAGCTACTACAGGTTAATCCACTTTAACGTAATCATGTAAAAGTTGTTCAATCTGCTAAAAATGTGTTAAAATAAGGCAGCTCTATACCTCACATGTGATTGCTTTAACTTCTTTTTAACTATATGGCGTTAAATTTTGAAATTAAGTAATGTAATTTAATTGATGACAGAGCTGCAGTTAAGCTCAATTACTGCTTTTTTAAATTTTGACATCAAACCATTTCTTTTATGATTACAATTACAAATATATTATTGATTACGTCAACAAAAATTGTTATTATTCCACTTTGTTAAATATTTTTTATTAATTACCTTTACTAAGAATAAAATCAGTAAACCAATTTATCAAAGTAAAAAAAGAAGAAGTGGTATTCAAACTAGCCTACTTGTATTCCCTGTACTGTACAAGTACTGCCGTTTTACCGTTTTATAACCTATTATGATGTTTACTTATTTAGTATTTAATTTAATAATTCCATTATTTGTGAATACGTATTTATGGTAATAAATAATTACTTTTGCTCCGAAAGAATAATTTTGAAAAATATTCTTTCAACCTAACATGTAAGAAAAGATGCAGTTTTTAGTTTATTTATATAATTATTTTTAATGAATATAGTTATTTTTTTAAATTTTATTGTATGTTGAAGAGATCTACTTTTGTGCTATTTCTGTCTGATACGAATATATTATATTAAAAAATAAATTTCTACATTGCTGCGTTTTTCATTTGAAATTTGTTTGTTTTGTTTTCATCATATTCATTCATCATATTATGTCTGGAAGACTACGTATTTTTATACGAAATTTCGCTACCATGAATTCTGGTTTTTCATGAAGTATTTTTTCAATTTGCCCTTGAAAATTTTCAAACTGGCACACATATTTACATTAATTTAGTAAATGCCTTTGGAAATACTGACTTGCTCGTTATATTGCTACTACAATTTTGTAAGTGACAGTCTATACATACTTCCTCTATACTACAACTATTTAAAACTGTAATGACTCATACGCGTGATCAACACTTGATCAGAGCTCGATCCCGGCTTCCTTCCAGTACAGCCGTATAGCGTACGACATATGTCGTTTCTGTGGCTTTGCGGTGGTCAACAGCACAGACAGAGATGGAAATAATGGCTGATTGTTCTCCACCGGTAGAACCAATGAAATCAAAGACGCGCCTCGACCGGCAGACTCATAGGCGTCGGCAACGCATTGGAACGTGTTTCGTTGAGCGATCGCATATTGTGTGTTTTTATAAGAATTGTTGTGTGATTGTTATTGTTGTGGTTTCTGTGGTTACTGTCTTGGTTATACTTAACCATGGAGAGTACAAATGGCACGAGTGGAAGTACTGAAAGCCAGGGAACAAGTAGACGGCTTCGTAAGGCACTGAAGAGGGACGCGAAAGAAATCGTGCTCAACGTGTTCAATTATCTGAACAGAACTATGTCGCAGGGAGATGCACTCGCGCGTTGTGAAAGTATGACAGGCGTTCCAGAGTGGACCATTCGCAGGGTGGTGCATGAAAAGAAGAAAACTGGAGCTACTACTGATCCAAAGTTTAATTTGAAGGGACGAAAGGCCGTTAAATTGGACGATGATAGCAAAATGGCGTTAAGGCGAACCGTACATTCATCCTTCTTTAGGAATGAGATACCAACCCTCAAGGCTGTACATGCAGCGATCAAGGAAAATGAAATTATACCCCAAATGAGCGTCGAGGTAATGATGAAATCCCTGCACGAAATTAATTTTCGTTACGAAACGCGTAATCGGAAGTCAGTAATGATAGAGAGACCTGAAATAGTCGCCTGGCGTCGAAAATACCTACGCGAAATGATTGAATATACGCGACAAAGCAAAAAAATCTATTATTTGGACGAGACATGGGTAAATGCAGGTCACACAGTTAAAAAAACCTGGATAGACAAAAACGTAGTGAGTAACCGACAAGCAAGCATTGAAGGTTTGTCAACGGGTCTTCGTGGACCGTCAGGGAAAGGTCAACGATTGATCGTAACTCATATTGGTAGCGATAGTGGCTTTTTAGAAAAGTGTGACTTGATTTTCGTCTCTAAGAAAGGAGGTGATTACCATGACGAAATGAATGCCAGCTGCTTCGAGAGCTAGTTTCAAGGGGTGCTTCAGCGAGTTGAGCCCAACTCTGTGATCGTCATGGATAATGCTTCCTACCATAGTCGTCGAGCCGAACGTGTACCGTGTTGGATCTCGAAAAAGTGACATGCAGCAATGGTTGCGCGAAAAAGGAATCCCGTTTGACGATTCATGTGTGAAAGCGGAATTGTATGAAAAAATTAAACAGCACAAACCTGCGAACATTAGATACGTGACTGATGAGATGGCCCGTCAATGTGGTGTCACTGTGCTGCGGTTACCGCCCTACCACTGTGAACTGAACCCAATAGAGCTGGGCTCAAGTGAAGGGTTATATTGCGCGCTATAACACAACCTTCAAATTACCAGACGTTTAGGCTTTACTTGAGACTTCCATACAGCTAGTAACGCCCGAAGCTTGGCAGAATGCTATCCGTCATGTTGTGAAGGAAGAAACAAAAATGTGGCAGCTTGACCACCACATCGACACCATCATAGAGCCAGTTATTGTCAATTTCAACGAGGAAAGCGATAGCGACAGTTTATTACTGTCAGATGTAAGTGGAAGCGACGATGAATAAAGGTAATTCCCAAATTTTTGACTTACAATATGTTTCAAACCACTCTTTATTAAGCATGTGACAAATCTAGTTCACCCATGTTAAACATTCATACCCCGCCTATGAACAGCCGACTACTGGTAGTTAAGTGATGTTCACATGAACATCGATGAGTCAGTACAGTTTTAGATAGTTATAGTATAGTTTATTTACTTTTATTTAAGATGATTCTCAAAGCTTTAATGTGTAATATTTTTAATTTTGAAAATACAGTTTTGATCACAGTGAACAAAATAGTGGAACAATATAATAGATGAGGAAGAATGATAGTGTTGTACACATTTTCTTTTACGCTATGCAAAATTCTATAAAAGTAATTGATCTTTCTGAATATTTTTGAAATAATATATTCATAGTGCCCTTCAAATTATAATTTACTATCTACGTATATGCCCCAATATTAAAATGATTCGATTGACTTTAATGATTAATCTTCAGATTTATTGTATTTTAATCTAAAGATTTTCCTATAACTTATACATATTTTGTTTTGTTTGAGTTTAATTTGGGTTTATTCACATTTAACCAGCTAATTATGTGTTTCATATCATTATTTAACAGCTCTATTGCAGTTTCAATGTATTTATTTGATATATATTTTACTGTATCAGCAAAAATTTGAATTTTGCAGTGTTGTAAAACATCAGGAATATCTTTAATATATAAAGTAAATAGTAATGGACCTAATTTACTACCCCGTGGCACACCTGTCGACACGTTTTTAATGCTTGATAATGTATTGCCAATTTTAGTTCGTTGACCTTTAATGATTAAATAATTTTGTAATATGTTGGATACTGAACTTTTAAATTCATAGTAATGCAATTTCGTTAACAATTTCTCCCTGTCGATAGTTTCAAATGCCCTCTTGAAATCCAAGGAACATAATAATATAGATTGTGAAAACTACAAAGAAAAACAGTAAATTTATTTTTGCAGAGTATAAAAACAGTAAGTCACATGTTACAGATTTTTTATTTACGACAATTTATTTTGGGCCTTGATAACAATCATGATCCAAAATCACCTTTAAATGACCCTCTATAAAGTCATGTAATTTTGAGATATCCATTAACCTTTGTTATCCCGTAATAATACATCGATTTTTACACTGTCCTGCCTTTTACCTAGTGCGACAGTATACCTTCACTAAAGATCGTCCTACCTTTCTGCAGCAGTTCCAGATGCTCCCACAAGATGTCACCTACGAACGCGGGCGCCCTTGCCGAGAAAGCGTCTTTGCCCATCGCGCAAATGTCCTTTCCTTTCATCCGGAACTGGTTCAGGGGTATGCAGTCTAGCGAGAACTCCTTCGCAGCCCACTGCAACCAGTGGGCCACGTGAGCTTCCGTCCACTGTCGAGGATCTGGAACAACAAGAAAGGTGAAAATGAAAAAGCGGCAAGCAACGGTAAAAAATGTCCACGTTCTACGTGAACCGTTTCTCGGGCTGAAACATAAAGTATGAGCGATTTTTATTTTTTCGACCCCACTCCCCCGCCACTGGGCCGAGTGCCAAAAACTACAAAGCTTTCACGCGTTGGCATAGTAGCAATCCTGTGAGAAAATTTAATAAAAATCCGATCAGTACTTCCTAAGCTATAGAGAGGTCAAGTAATGGGTGATTTTTTTGCTAGTATCTTTTTGGAAACACTGTTTTTGACAGATGACGCGTGAATCGTGTCTTGTGTCATTGTCAAACTTGTTCAGTTTGGTCTATAATTTAACCGTGAATCGACTTACGAACGAACAACGCTTGCAAATTATTCAATTTTACTATCAAAATTCATGCACGGTTAAGAGAATGCATCGAGCACTGCTTCCAATTTATGGGCAATTTGGTCGGCCTACTGAGGGAGCTATTCGGAAGCTTGTGACTAAATTTCGAACCCAGTTTACATTATTGGACATTAAACCACCAACACGCAGACGTAGAGTGAGGACTGAAGAAAATATTGCGTCTGTATCCGCCAGTGTTAGTGATGACCGTGAAATGTCGATTCGCCGCCGTTCGCAGCAATTGGGCCTCTGTTACTCGACTACGTGGAAAATTTTGCGACAGGATTTGGGTGTAAAACCTTATAAGATACAGCTGGTGCAAGAATTGAAGCCGCACGACCTCCCACAACGTTTCCCATTTGGTGAAAGGGCGCTGGCAAAGTTGGAGGAAGATCCACATTTTTATCGAAAAATTGTGTTCAGCGACAAAGCTCATTTCTGGTTGAATGGGTACGTTAACAAGCAAAATTGCCGCATCTGTAGTGAAGACCAGCCAGAAGTATTGCAAGAGCTACCAATGCATCCCGAAAAAATCACTGTTTGGTGTGGATTATGGGCCGGTGGCATCATCGGGCCGTACTTCTTCAAAGACGACAATGGCCGGAACGTAACTGTGAATGGCGAGAGCTACCGTGCGATGATAACAAAGTTTTTTTTGTCCAAAATGAAAAAACTGGACTTGTCTGATATGTGGTTTCAACAAGACGGTGCCACATGCCACACCGCACACGAAACAATGGCCCTATTGAGAGGCGAGTTCGGTGAACAGTTTATCTCACGTTTGGGGCCCGTCAATTGGCCGCCTAGATCGTGTGATTTAACGCCGTTGGACTATTTCTTGTGGGCCATGTTAAGGCTAATGCATACAGGGATAAACCAGCAACGATTGACGCACTGGAAGTCAATATTGAAGCATTTATTCGTGAGATACCGGCCGATATGTTGGAGAGAGTGTGCCAAAATTGGACCTTGCGCATGGGCCATCTAAAGCGGAGCCGCGGCGAACATTTACATGAAATAATCTTTAAACATTAAATTATATCGACTCAAATAAAGATTTAATCGTTTTTTCAAATTTTTTGTGTTTTTTTTTTAAATCAAATCCTATACCTCTTAAAAAATCACCCGTTATTACCGGACAGACAAATTGGTTAAGGCTTTCGCGGCCAGTTGATAAACTGCTGTCTTGATTCGAGTACACTAGTCTACATCCAGCATCGGAAATGGAAGGACCTCTGAAGAAGCTTGCCACTCGTGCTAGCGAAACGTTAGGAAGAAATTCCAACCGACGACGGCGTTTAGACCCGAATCAAGACAGCAGTTCCTTACCGGACAGACAGACAGACAGACCGACAATCAATCAATCAATCAATAAAGTTTATTTTCATACAGACAATATATAATTGTATTGGAATTGTCAATTTTTCGTTCGCTCCAAACCTACAACTAATCTCAAATTGCAATGTTCAAAAATTCATCAACAGGAACTTAAAGTCGTTAATATTTTTAACCGAGGTAATGTGGCTTGGTAAATTATTAAAAAGAAGCGGACCAATTTTATTAGGTGATCGAAATGCCGCTTTTGATTGGCTAAAGTTTACATATAAATTATTACAAGTCCAAGCACAATTCATATATATACAACGAAGGGACAGTTAAAATGTTGAAACTTATAAAATATGTTTTGCTACTTTCTGTTGGTGAGATGCCTGCTAATGATCGGATGCATCTTTTTTGAGACACAAATACATCTTCAGAGCGCGTTGACCAACCCCAGAAACATACTCCATATCTTAATCTCGAATCCACATTAGCAAAATAAACTTGTATCAATTGTTCAGCTGTTAAGATGGTTTTTAATTACCTCAACACTTAGCTTTGAGAGTACATTTTTGATGTGAGAAATTCGCAGTGGGCCTTCCAATTTAAGTTCGAATCAAAATGAACTCCAAGAAATTTCACTTCTCTAAAATCGAGTTGATCGACACCCAATCTAACTTGAAACTCTTCTACAGTTTTTTGAGCATGATGAAAACGAATAAGCGTTGTTTTGGAAGGATTCAAGTAAAGTGAGTACCGGTTAAACCATGTATTGATATTCCTAATTAAGTTGTTACATTTATCTTCCAAAATTATATTTGAATTACTTGATATTATCGCAGAAACGTCATCAGCATATGCGGTAAAATGGGTATCTGGATGAACATTATCAGACCGATTAATGCATAAGAGGAAAAAGATTGGTCCAAGAATAGAGCCCTGAGGGACTCCAATCGAAATGTCTAACGTACTTGACACAAAGTTTTTCATATTGTTCCCTGCATCAAGATATTCTAGTGAAACATATTGTTTTCTTTGGACTACAAACGATCTGGCTCATTTAAGAGACTGACCGACAAAACCATATTTAACAACAATCTCCAAGAATTTGTTGTGGTTTTTCGTGATGATAAAGGGTGTTCCATCTAATGCTTCTTTTTTCAACTACCGTTTTTTGAGATGTTAATCGTCCCACAGAGTGTGCAATTCGGTGGATTATCAATCGTTTTGAGGGAACTGGCTCAGTTGAAGGTCGTAGAACATATCAACATGCCCGTCCGGTACGTACACGTGAATCAGAGGCCGCTGTGAGTGCAGGTGTTCATGAACAGCCATCAACTTCGATAAGACACCGTACGCAATGATTGGACATCAGGACAACAATGTGAATTTTCCATGCTGATCTCCACCTACACCGATACAAGATCCAACTAACTCAACAATTGAAGCCAGCGGACCATCAGCAACGGCGTATTTTTATTAATTGGATGCTTGAAAAAGGTGAGGGATTTTCGGCTAAGGGCCAATTTCAGCAACATTAATATTTGACGGTCAGTTGGACCAATAGGAAAAGACCTTATCGAAATGCAATTTGACGGAGGCTGACAAAGCACTCTGAATATCAGTGATTTCTATTGAAATGATGAATAAAGTCGTGAAAAGTCTATGCATAGACAATTTGAAATTTGCAATATGAATTTATATTCTAGATTCTATGCACATCCGTTCACATTCGTCAATATTTCATTTGAAGCTTGTATTTGTCGAGCAAAATTAAGGCCACAGCGCACCCTGCAGCCCAGTTGACAAGAACGACAAGCTGTCAAGATTAGGGATGTTTAGATCCACGAAAAGTATCGATATGTATCGATTCTTATCGTTTTAGGAAGTATCGATACTCTAAAATATTGGAATAAAATTATCCATATCCAGCGGAAGAAAACAAAGAAAAGTAATTTGAACTTAGTTACTCATTCTGACACAGTCCGGATCGAAAAACGACGATACCCGTGAAATGTATCGATACACCCAAGTGTCTTATATAAAAATATCGATCCAAAATATCGGGTATGGGCAGCAAAAGTATCGATACTTCTAAATGTAGGATTGAACCTTCTTCAGTGTATATGTTTTGTGACTGGGACCAAGGGTTGCCGGCTCCCACACATGTGTCACTCGGGGAGTTTTGAAATGTAATAATCAGCTGTTATTCAAATAATGAAAAAAAGAAAAATATGGCAAATTTCTAGTTTTTTTTTGCAGGTTTTAGGTTTGCTGGTGGCTTTAAGACATACGATATATATGGGTATTTCTTAATCGCTGTAAATACAGGGTGACTTCGAAGTTGAGTCATTTATTTTAACAGTGAGTAGATTTGATCAAAAGAAATGTTTTTTTCCTTTACCATTTTTCTGGTAAAATTAAAGTAACAAAGTTATAGCCCTTTGGAAGTTTGAGTACCGCCCTGTCTCAATAATAATATCATGTACTCGTGTTTGGAAACAACGGATATAATCCGCCTTACCGGTTCATCGCATCGGAAACAAAAAAGCGAATGAATTTGGAACGATGTTTTTCAATTATTTTATTCAGTTCAGTTATACATACAGTAAGTGTCAGTCGGTTAGCGTGTGAATAGTGTCTGTTGCGTGGCTCAAACGAAATAAAAAATGGCACATGTTTATGCGGATCGGTTTCCCAATCGAGTGCAACCAACCCCTCGTGCCTTTGTTAATGTAGTACAACGGGCTCGTGAATCAGGTGACTTAAGACCTCACAGGAGACCTCACGATCAAAAACAGGTCCGCACTGAAATACTTGTTGGGAGGATACTTTATAAAACAAGGTAAACATTTTTTTTTTATTTTTACACACATATTCTGGTTTATCTTCCTTCTACAATCATTATCTGAAAATTAATGACTCAACTTCAAAGTCACCCTGTATAGTGTGGATGTTTGTTCAGTTCCTGAACAACGTAAAATATTCAACTTTATGGATGTATGGATATCAAAAATCCTGAATGGTTTTGTGGGAATATCAATCGACGATGCTATAATGGTTCTGATGAACGGCAAGTAAATTAATGAATGTTTGGAAACGACAAATGTCTATGAAGTTTTTGGCAAAGTAGGTGTTTAATGGATATCTGCCAGAGGTTTATAGGAAAAAAAACACGGGAGGTGATGTTAAATCAGTAAAATCGCATATCAATTGAAGCAAATAATATAAACACATGAATAAAAGATCAACAATAG